CAAGTAAATTTTCCAGGACACAACATAGGGCCAGGACAAATTGCCAAGGACTATGAAAATAAAGGCTTTGACAGAATTCCACATTCTTAAACTTAAAGGAGAAATTATGCTAATTTTGGGAATATGTGATTTCTGTTGGAAGTTTGTGTCAAACTTTAGTTAACGGCATGTCTGGCAGATTTCTTACAAAAGTAAAGGCAAAGGTAATAAATCATAGAGTTTTGCAGCGTGGAAAAACGTTCTTCATCATATGGTATCCATGCCAGACATCCATCCATCTATTCGAATCCCATTCTTTCACCAGCTCGGCCCATAGCCTTGTGTGCTGTGGCATTTCAAAAACTTCTTCAATCTCTTGAGGGTTCCCACCTATACCACCCTCACAGGCAGTGAGTACCAGATCCCCACTGCCCTCTGGGTAATTTTTTTTTCTCAAATCCCCTCTAAACCTGCTGCCTTCTACCTTATAATTCTGCCCCTTTTTATTGACCCTTCAACTAAGGGGACCAGTTTTCTATTCACACTGTCCACACCCCTCAAAATCTTATACCCCTCCATCGAGGCTCCTCTCAACCTTCTCTGGTCCAAAGAAAACAAATTCGAGCTTATCCAGCCTCTTTTCAGAGGTAAACTGCTCCATCCCAGACAACATCCTGGTGAATCCCCTCCAGTGCAATCACATCCTTCCTATAGTGCAGTTCCAACATGACCTCCCGACTCTTATAATCTATGCCTCAATTGATAAAGGCAAGCATCCCATAGCCTTCTTAATCACCTGATTAATCTTTCCTGCTCCCTTCAGGGATCTGTGGACAAACATCCCAAGATCCCTCTGTTCCTCTGAGCTTCCTAGTGTCCTACCATTCATTGAGTACTCCCTTGTCTTGTTACTGCTTTCAAAGTGCATCACCTCACACTTATCAGGGTTAAATTCTATCTGTCACTGGTCCATTTATATCGTCCTGTAACCTGAGAACTACTTCCTTCCTGTTAACCACTCGACCAATGTTTGTGTCATTGTTGAATTTATTTACCATCCCCCCCAACAAACAATAAGAGACCCCACACTGATCTCTGTGGCACGCCACTGCACACCAGGATCCAGTCACACAAATAGCTCTCTACCATCGTCCTCTGTCTCCTGTCACTAAACCAATTCTGGATCCAACTTATCAAGTTATCCTGGATCCCATGAGCTTTTATCATCTTTATCAACTTCTCATGTGGGACCTTGTCAAGGGTTTTCCTGAAATCCATATAAACTACATCAACTACATTACCCTCATCTGCATACCTGGTCAGCTCCTCAAAAAATTCAATCAAATTTATTAGGCATACTCTCCCTCTGACAAAGCTATGCTGCCTGTCCTTGATCAAAATTTGCCTTTCCAAGTGGAGATTAATTCTTTCCTTCAGAATTTTCTCCAACAGTTTCACTACAATTCTCTTGTTTATCTCTATCACCGTTCTTGAGTACTGAAACCGTATTAGCTGTCCTGAGACTGAGATGAGAAATTTCTTCACCCAGAGAGTGGTGAGCCTTAATACCGCAGGTGCCAGGCATTCTCAAATACTTGTGGCCAGAGATAAACCAGGTAACTCAAAAGGTTTAGGGAAACAATTACTTGACACAAACTTCCATGTGGGACATAGTGTCAGCAGCATATGAGCATAGAGTTAGCAAGATACCTGATGCAGGATATTGTGCATTTCCCAGGGCTAGCACTGACATTGAGGAGACAGTGAAATCATGTGAGGTGAACCACTGCAGGACAATGAGCTTTGACACCCTCACAAGATTCTGTAGGTCCCTTATTCAAAATCGCAACACATTTATTCACTACACAAAGCAATAATTTCTCTGAGTCAGTATTACCTTTCCCAATTGAGACTTCAAATGCATTTGTAGCAGACACAAGGAGTACAGTATTCAATCTGTTTGCTACACCTGAAGGGATTATATCTGACAATGGGCTGCAATATCCAGGCAGAGTTTCCAGAGACATGTGCCAAAGCTAACACATGTGACCTTATCTAGCAGTCTCACTGTGCGGATGGTTTTCATAATTAAAACACTACCACGAGGTGCAGGGTGATAAAACATAAGGTTTGCTGCACTCCACTGAGAAGCTACACCCCTGCCCTTGGGCTTATTGTCGCTAGAAGAGATCATATTTGGAAGACAAGATAGGACAAGCCTGCCTAGCCATCTCCTGTCCAAGTTCTCAGAAATACAGGATAAACTTCTCGATTAACAAGGGATAATGAAGATTGTTCAATGTAGAACTGCCATATGTGCCAGTCAAAATGTCAGAATCACGCATCTCACCCAAGAAACTTGGTTTCCCGCAGCAGTATCCAAAGTGTGCAGTGAACCCAGAGCCTGCAAAATTACAACATCCATTGGAATAACATTGAAGAGGGAGAGAAGCTAGCTCAGGGAAGTGTACAGTACTCCATCTCTGCACAGAACAAACAGAAACATAGACTGGGATAATGAAGGTGTGGAAGGGCATCAGCAGAACAACAACCAACATTCTACAATGCTCAAGAGACCAATACACACACACACACATACACACACACATGCATGTACACATGCACACGCACACACTCCCTCTCACACACACACACTCTGTCATTCTCACACACACACGCACGTGCACATGCACACACGTGCACATGCACACGCACACACATGCATACACATACAGACACATGCACACACACACACAAACAAATGCACATGCACACACACACACAGACACTCGCACACACTCTCTCTCACTCACACAGACACACAGGCATGCACATGCACACGTACACACATGTGCACACACAGACACACACACCCGCACATGCACTGACACACACACACACGCAAAGAACACAAAGGTAAAATCTATATCTCCAGAAGTTCGTAACATCATGAGATCCAAAGGATTGCCCAATCACCTGTACATTATTGAGAACCATAGACTAACTCATTTTTAAAATTCTTGTTCATGTGTAAATAATTTTGTAACTACCTAACGTATACATATTTTCCCTCTTATTGCATGCAATTTTATCTTGGAAAGAAAGGGGATTTCTGTTACAACTTTACGAGCTGAGTTTGCTAATTAACCAGGGAGCAGGCTAATACAGATGAACAGGAGCCACAAGGAGTCCATGCAGTAGACAGAGACTCAGTATTTATCCAGAAGTTGCTCCGTAACTGCAAGTCAGTTTGATTTTAAATAACCTGTTTGCAATTTTCAAGTAAGTTGAACCTTCCACTACTGATCACTCCAGTAGGAATGATGAGGATAACAGCACAGGAATACAACAGTGTGGAACTAGAGAGTGGGGCTACAGCAATTTCAGAGTGGTTCTGAGACATCAAGAATTTCAGAGATCAGGCTTTCACTATGTCTCTGCTGTCCTCTGGTGGAAGCTACGTGAAGCTCATCACAAACTTTTACCCAAGGGATGGAGCAGTATCTGTGGGAGGGATGGGGCAAGTGCTGATTGGGGTGGGGGTGTACGTGTGGGACAGTGTGGAGGGAAGAGTTTGGTTCAAAGGGGTGTCTGTGGGAGACAGTGAAGAGAGTTGCGAAGGAGTTGGGGTGAGGGCCGTAAGTGGGAGAGTTTGTGTCCAGGGGGTATGAGTTGGGGTAAGAGTTGGAGAAGAATTGGGGCTTATGGGCTGATTTAGACTGATTTAAATAAAATTTAAACAGACCAGCACCAACCTGCAGAGTGAAAAAATTGAAATACAAAATCTGTTGCTAAATAGGTTTATCTGAGGGGAAGTTGATTGTGAAAGCAGGGGGAAAAAACTGAAATTTGCAACTTAACTTCCTGAAGCAAGCAAGATGCAGCCAGCTGCCACTCACAAACCTCTCCAACTTCTTCATTCTGCACAACCACTGGCTCCAAATGGGAAGCAGAGAGTCACAGTCTGACTCACATTCAACTGGCTTGATCTCACAGCTGACTGCTAGCAGCCTGAGCTTCGGGGGTCCAGGCCAATTTCTGCAAAAAGGAAACAAGACACAGTGGCAGGGAGCAACTTTCTCCCCTTTGCAGCAGATTCATAGCAGGAGTGTGCCGAAGGCAGTGAAACTCAGGACTCCGTTCCTGTGCATCCATTAAAATTGTACCATTTGATATATATTGCCTCTCCTCATTCTCTCCATCTGTTATACCTTCCCACCAGCTTTCAATACTTGTACCACCCTTATCTGCTCTTCCACACTTCATACCTGTTCATTATTTACAAAGTGCTCTGTAACAGCCCAGCAACAGTGTCTTTGCAGAGTAAGAGTTACTCATTGTAAAGGTAAAGTCACCAGAGGCTCTCTAATTAAAGAGAGATAATTGGTGTTGTTCTATCCAGAGGGTCACTGTGCCTCAGGCAAAGGAAGGGTTGAGGAGGAGAGTCCTTTATGGTAACCTCAGCTGATGTAGGATTTGAACCTCTGCGGTTGGTGTCATTTCTGCATCATAGACCAGCCATCTGCTCAGGGTGTGGGTTATGGTTAGCTCAGTTGGCTGGACAGCTTGTTTGCAATGCAGTGTGATACCAGCAGCAAGATGTTACCATGCAGGTCCTGTCTCCCCAATCTTGCCCCAAGCCTGAGGTTTGGTGATCTTCAGGTTAAACTCACTGCCAGTCTTCTCTCTCTAATGAGACAGTGGAACTATGGCAGCTTTACTATTCCCAATCACTATATCTGTTCTGAGTTAGTGTTTATTCAGCGTAAGATTTTCATGAGAGCTCCACATTGTATCTCAGCTTCAAGTTGCTGCTCAGTGCCTGTAAATTGTATTATGCAATTGATGTTTATATCTGTAAGGTCCAAAACAGCTTCACTATAGAGAAACAGATTTGCCTGTGGATTCAGCGTATTTCAGTGCAGTCCCAATGTGGATTCCTGCATGATTCCAGATTCACAGTCAATATTATAAGAAATGGAGTTAAAGATCCACAGTTGACAAGATATTTTACAAACAAATGGGGTTACAATGTTTTATTTACTTGTCTGGTATGATATACACATCATCCTCTGGGTTAGCAACAGACTCTGTGTAATTACAATAAACAGGCTGCTCGTTTAAATAAATATCACAAGCTGGGTCACTTTCCAGGTAATACGTGTCATCCGCACTCTTCGGATTCCTAGAAAGAAAGGAATATCCCATTAAAAACAGAACAGAAGGTTCCGATTTCACTCATCCCTCAAGGAGTTCTCCCCAGAATCCCAACTACCTGTTGGGGACCTATCGCTGTTGGGGAGGGTTTAAACTAATGTGGCAGGGGGATGGGAACCAAATGAGGAGGTTAGTGGGCAGTAAAGAGGTAGTAACGAAAGTCTGTAAGGAACTAGATAATGAAGTCAGTGTGACTAAGGGGAAAAGTAGGCAGAGAGCAGGTAATAAACGCAAAGGGACAGGTGGTCTGAGGTGCATTTGTTTTAATGCGAGAAGTGTAGTAGGTAAGGTAGATGAACTTAGGGCTTGGCTTAGTACCTGGGAGTATGATTTTATTGCTATTGCTGAGACTTGGTTGAGGGAAGGGCAAGATTGGCAACTAAATATCCCAGGATATAGATGCTTCAGGTGGGATAGAGAGGGAGGTAAAAGGGGTGGAGGAGTTGCATTGCTGGTCAAAGAGGATATCACAGCTGTGCTGAAGGAGGGCACCATGGAGAACTTGAGCAGTGAGGCAATATGGGCAGAGTTCAGAAACAGGAAGGGCGTGGTAACAATATTGGGGCTGTACTACAGGCCTCCCAACAGTGAGCGTGAGATAGAGGCACAAATACGTGGACAGATTATGGAAAGATGTGGGAGCAACAGAGTGGTGGTGATGGGAGATTTTAATTTTCCCAACTTTGACTGGGATTCACTTAGTGTTAGGGGTTTAGATGGAGCAGAATTTGTAAGGAGCATCCAGGAGGGTTTTCTAGAGCAGTATGTAAATAGTCTAACTCGGGAAGGGGCCATACCGGACCTGGTGATGGGGAATGAGCCCAGCCAGGTGGTTGAAGTTTCGGTAGGGGATTACTTTGGGAATAGTGATCACAATTCCGTAAGTTTTACAATACACATGGACAAAGATGAGAGTGGTCCTAAAGGAAGAGTGCTAAATTGGGGGAAGGCCAACTATAGCAAAATTCGGCAGGAGGTGGGGAATGTGGATTGGGAGCAGCTGTTTGAGGGTAAATCCACATTTGATATGTGGGAGGCTTTTAAAGAGAAGTTGATTAGAGTGCAGGACAGACATGTCCCTGTGAAAATGAGGGATAGAAAGGGCAAGATTAGGGAACCATGGATGACAGGTGAAATTGTGAGACTAGCAAAGATGAAAAAGGAATCATACATAAGGTCTAGGCGACTGAAAACAGACAAAGCTTTCGAAGAATATCGGGAAAATAGGACCAATCTAAAACGAGGAATTAAGAGAGCTAAAAGGGATCATGAAATATCTTTAGCAAACAGGGTTAAGGAAAATCATAAAGCCTTTTATTCATACATAAGGAGCAAGAGGGTAACTAGAGAAAGGGTTGGCCCACTCAAGGACAAAGGAGGGAAGTTATGCGAGGAGACAGAGAAAATGAGTGAGATTCTTAATGAGTACTTTGCATTGGTATTCACCGAGGAGAGGGGCATGACGGATGTTGAGGTTAGGGATAGATGTTTGATTACTCTAGGTCAAGTCGGCATAAGGAGGGGGGAAGTGTTGGGTATTCTAAAAGGCATTAGGGTGGACAAGTCCCCAGGTCCTGATGGGATCTATCCCAGGTTACTGAGGGAAGTGAGAGAGGAAATATCTGGGGCCTTAACAGATATCTTTGCAGCATCTTTGAGCACGGGTGAGGTCCCGGAGAACTGGAGAATTGCTAATGTTGTCCCCTTGTTTAAGAAGGGTAGCAAGGATAATCCAGGTAATTTTAGACCGGTGAGCCTGATGTCAGTGGTGGGGAAACAGCTGGAGAAGATACTGTGGGGTAGGATCTATTTACATTTGGAAGAAAATGGGCTTATTAGTGATAGGCAGCATGGTTTTGTGCAGGGAAGGTCATGTCTTACCAACTTGATAGAATTCTTTGAGGAAGTGATAAAGTTGATAGATGAGGGAAGGGCTGTAGATGTCATATACATGGGCTTCAGTAAGGCGTTTGATAAGGTTCCCCATGGTAGGCTGATGGAGAAAGTGAAGTCGCATGGGGTCCAGGGTGTGCTAGCTAGATGGATAGAGAACTGGCTGGGCAACAGGAGACAGAGAGTTGTAGTGGAAGGGAGTTTCTCAAAATGGAGAACTGTGACCAGTGGTGTTCCACAGGGATCCATGTTGGGACCACTGTTGTTTGTGATATACATAAATGATCTGGAGGAAGATATAGATGGTCTGATTAGCAAGTTTGCAGATGACACTAAGATTGGTGGAGTAGCAGATAGTGAAGGGGACTGTCGGAGAATGCAGCAGAATATAGATAGATTGGAGAGTTGGGCGGAGAAATGGCAGATGGAGTTCAATCCAGGCAAATGCAAGGTGATGCATTTTGGAAGATCCAATTCAAGAGCGAACTATACAGTAAATTGAAAAGCCCTGGGGAAAATTGATGTACAGAGACAACTGGGTGTTCAGGTCCATTGTACCCTGAAGGTGGCAACACAGGTTGATAGAGTGGTCAAGAAGGCATACGGCATGCTTTCATTCATCGGACGGGGTATTGAGTACAAGAGTTGGCAGGTCATGTTGCAGTTGTATAGGACTTTGGTTCGACCACATTTGGAATACTGCGTACAGTTCTGGTTGTCACATTACCAAAAGGATGTGGATGCTTTGGAGAGGGTGCAGAGGAGGTTCACCAGGATGTTGCCTGGTATGGAGGGCGCTACTATGAAGAGAGGTTGAGTAGATTAGGCTTATTTACATTAGAAAGACGGAGGTTGAGGGGGGACCTGATTGAGGTCTACAAAATCATGAGAGGTATAGACAGGGTGGATAGCAAGAAGCTTTCTTCCAGAGTGGGGGACTCAGTTACTAGAGGTCACGATTTCAAGGTGAGAGGGGAAAAGTTTAAGGGAGGTATGTGTGGACAGTTCTTTACGCAGAGGGTGGTGGGTGCCTGGAACACGTTGCCAGCGGAGTTGGTAGAGGCGGGCACGATAGCGTCATTTCAGATACATGAATGGGCAGGGAGCAGAGGGATACAGATCCTTGGAAAATAGGCGACCGGTTTGGACAGAGGATTTGGATCGGCGCAGGCTTGGAGGGCCAAAGGGCCTGTTCCTGTGCTGTAATTTTCTTTGTTCTTTGTTCTTTGCTCTACCTGAGATGCCTCAGAAGAGATTCTGACACTGACACCTCTTCCAGAATGAGCAGTTCTGTCACCCTGGCTGGTTTGTAACTGGACCGTTCTCCTGATAGCTCCTTTCAGGTCCATAGCTGCTCTGGCCTCACTCTGTCTGGGAGTTGCTTAAAAAAAATTCAAATGAATTACAGTAAAAATGTTCATCAAGTTAGCACAGGCCCCTGAAACTGAAGTCTGAGCTGAAGGGTCAGCAAATCAGGTTCCTCCATTACTGCCAAAGATTTTTTTTCTTTACTTCGTTCATGGGACATGGGCATCGCTGGCTATGCAGCATTTATTGTCCATCCCTTATTGGGATCCAGAAGCCCTTGTCCTCAGCTGCACCCTGTACAATCAGACACTTCACTGATCATCCCAGGGACTACGCTTGGACATCATGGTGCTATCACTGTGGTCAGTGGGAGATTCTGCAGCTTGCCTGCAAGTTTTAACTTCTCCAACCCAGGAAGCTGACGGAATAGTTAGGAGCAGTGCCTTCGTCCTTTTCCCTGACTATTGTGGTCAGTGGTATTGACGAAAGCGGATGTTCTCCAATTGGACCAGTTAGCAACTCAAACCGAGTTACAGGGCCTGAAGGTATAACCTAGGTCGGCTTTTTGAGGGGTATGAGGAAGTGCTCTACCTCCTAACCCACAGATTCTGGTCTGTGAATGTATTTGCCAACTGGCTGAGCACAGCCTTGTTGAAGTGTTGGCATCTCACCTGTTGCCTGCCTCCTTTCTCCACACAAATGGAGCAATGGCCAAACCACCAATAGGATTGAGATGCTGGGGCTGAGTCCTGCCCAGCAAGAGCTGCTGGCCAATCAGAGGCTGGAAGCTCTTGTCCACAGCTGTATCCCTGAGGAGGAGGGGCAGTGCCAGTCGCCCCAGGCTCAGAGAGGATCGAGGCGAGAGAAACCTGATGCTCAGGCAAGCAGGAGATCACAAGGGCAGGAGACAAAGGGGTTGGAAACCAGAGCAGTGGGTGGTTCATAGTGGGGATTCCATTACCCTTCAATCTGTCGCTCACTGAGTGCCTTTGTTTCATGGAGAATACCTCACCACCAACTCCATGAGCTATCTGCAATCTTACCATGCAGATTGGGTTGATGTAGTTGGGTTAATCCCACTAGTGGTAGGATGAGGCCCTTATGTGGTCATTAATTGGTTACTTAAGGTCCTCAATTGGTGGCAATCATGAGTTATGTGCTGGTAACAGGATGGCAGCATAGGTTCAGGCCTGGTGCCATTCTAACCGAATACAATACTCTTCCTGTCTCCTAGTTCACCACCAGAGAGAGAAGATTCTGCCCATAATTTCTGATGTGTCCATAGATGTACACACTCAAAGCTGCTACTGTAAGAATGAGCTTGCACTGTCACAATCACTGATGTGTATATATTTACAACATTATGGTTCCAATGTTTCAACTGCAATGATATGTTTCTTTCACAAAGAGATGTACAGACTTGTAGTTACTCATGTGTTAGTGCATTTACACAGATACTTGCTCACATTTTCACTCCACTTTACCTGTCACATCTTTCCCGTGCCCCATCAGATTCACCAATCAGCATGTTCTCATAATCCTTGTGCACCATCTGTTGCTGCCTGACCCCTCTAGAACATTCTGCATTCTCTGACACTGCTGCTGGATCTTTCCAGTTTGCTCTGCTGACGTATCTTTGCTGACCATGATCCAAGGAAGAAACAGAATGACGTTTGTTCGGGGAGTGGGAACTGTTGGTATTGCATTTGGAGGAATATTTGATCACGACACAAATAGTGATTCCAATGCCGAGAATGAGCAATGGAACGAGGACATAGACGGAAATGCGATTTGTCCTGCTGCATTCCGCACTGTAAAAACTGCTCACGTTGAACACACTGAAATTGTTTGCTCCATTGCAATTCAGATTCTCCATGAAATTCTGTGTACAGTTTTCTGCTTTATTGCAATTCTCTGTCAAATCTTTCAAAACACTGCAAGAACATTGAAAGATAACTTGTACTCCCTGAATGATGCTGAGAGGAATGGATTTTAGAGGGTTTCCATTTACATTCAGTACTTTTAAGTTTTCAAAGTTTAGGAGGAGATTTTTCGGAAGCTGTTCGAATTCATTGTTCATGAGATTCAGTTCGATCAGCTCAGAATTCTGAGAAATGTTAATAACTTGGGAGATTCTGCAGCTTTCTAGTGAGAGCTTTGTGACACCGTTTATGTTTAACTTTCTCCAATCCAGGCAGCTGAGGGAACAGTTAGGAGCAGTAGCTTTGACCCCTTCCCTGACTATTGGTGTCTCTGTACAGTGTGAACCCATTGTCCACTGGATATGAAGCAAACTGAGAACCATCGTCAATATCTTCATCCTGTGTGAATCAAGGAGATACATCCAATTAGAAACTTCAATTCTACACCAAATGGTTCCCCACCTCATCTCACCCTTACAAGCAAGAAGATCTTCTTTAATGCTCTGTAGCTTGTCAAATAATTGCCCGGCTTAGGAACTGACAATAAGACACTCCAACATCACACAAAACTCACAAGTTTTCCATCTTTAGCCAGTGGACTGAGCTGCACCTCAGTGAAAGTGACTACAACGCTGTGTATTTGTATACCACTAAACTAAAAAACGGGCAGATTCTCAGTTCAACATTCCACCTGAAAGGTGGCACCTTTGACAGTGCAGCATTCTCTCAAGGGCAAACAAGAACTCGAGATAAGACCAGGAGTCAACCATACGGCACATTAAGCCTTCTCAATATAGTCATAGAAACATAGAAGATAGGAGCAGGAGGAGGCCATTCAGCCCTTCAAGCCTGCTCCCCCATTCATCACAATCATGGCTGATTGTCCAACTCAATAGCCTAATCCTGCTTTCTCCCCATAACCTTTGACCCCATTCGCCCCAAGTGCTATATCTACCCACCTCTTGAATACATTCAATGTTTTGGCATCAACTACTTCCCATGGTAATGAATTTCACAGGTTCACTACTCATTGGGTGAAGAAATGTCTCCTCATCTCTGTCCTCAATCGTCTACCCCGAATCCTTAGACTGTGACTCCTGGTGTGGAGACACCCACCATTGGGAACATTCTCCCTGCATCTACCTTGCCCAGTCCTGCTGGAATTTTATAAGTCTCCATGAGATCCTCCCTCATTCATCTGAGTTCCAGAGAAAACAATTCCAACCTGGCCAATCTCTCCTCATACGCCATCCCTGGAATCAGCCTGGTAAACCTTCGCTGCACTCCCTCTGGAGCAGGCACATCCTTCCTCAGAAAAGGAGACCAAAACCGCACACAATATTCTAGGTGTGATCTCACCAAGGCCCTGTATAACTGCAACAACACATCCCCGCTCCTGCACTTGAAACCTCTCACAACGAAGGCCAACATACCATTTACCTTCTTTATCGCCTGCGGCACCTGCATGCTTACCTTCAGCAACTGGTACACAAGGACACCCAGGTCCCACTGCACACTCCCCTCTCCCAATTTATAGCCATTCAGGTAGTAATCTGCCTTCTTGTTTTTGCTTCCAAAGTGAATAACCTCACATTTATCCAAATGATACTGCATCTGCCATTAATTTGCTCACTCACCCAATCTGTCCAGACCATGCTGAAGGATCTCTGCATCCTCGTCACAGTTCACCCTCCCACCCAACTTGGTATCATCTACAAACTTGGAGATATTACATTTTGTTCCCTCATTTAAATCATTAATATATATTGTGAATAGCTGGGGTCCCGACACCGATCCCTGTGGTACCCCATTAGTTACTGCCTGCCAATTTGAAAAGGACCCATTAATTCCTACTCTTGTTTCCTCTCTGCCAACCAGTTTTCTATCCATCTCAATACACCTGCACCAACCCCATGTGCTTTAATCTTGCACAATAATCTCTGATGCGGTAATTTGTCAAACACTTCCTGAAAGTCCAAAAATACCACATCAACTGGCTCCTCCTTGTCAACTCTATGAGTTACATCTTCATAGAATTCTAACAAATTTGTTAAGCATGACTTCCCCTTCATAAATCCATGCTGACTCTGTTGATCCTGCTACTACTTTCTAAATGCTGCGCTATAAAGTCCTTGATAATGGATTGGAGAATTTTCCTCACTACTGTTGTTAGGCTTACTGGTATATAATTCCCTGTTCTCTCTCTACCTCCATTAGCAACTGTCCAATCTGCAGGGACTGTTCCAGAGTCTATAGAATCCTGGAAGATGACCACCTATGCATCCACTATTTCTAGAGCCACTTCCTTAAGTACCATGGGATGTAGATTATCAGGCCCTGGGGATTTATCCACCTTCAATCCCATCAATTTTCCCAGCACCATTTCTTTACTAATATTGATCTCCCTCAGTTCTTCCCTCTCACTAAATCTTGCATTCTCCACTATTTCTGGCATTTGATTTGTGTCCTCTTTTGTAAAGACAGAACCAAAGTATGTATTCAGTTGCTCAGCCATTTCTTTATCCCCTATTATACGTTCCCCTGTTTCTGTCTGTGGGGGACCTACATTTGTCTTCGCCAATCTCTTTCTCTTCACATACCTATAGAAACACTTAGTGTCAGTCTTTATGTTCGCTGCAAGCTTACTGTCGCACTGTATTTTCCTCTTCTTAATCAATCCCTAGGTCCTTCTTTCCTGAATTCTAAACTGCTCCCAATCCTCAGACATATTATTTCTCTTGGTCAATCTGAATGCTTCTTCCTTGGATCGGATACTATCTCTAATTTCCTTTGTAAACCATGGATTGGCCCTCTTACCCATTTCCTATTCAATTTCCACTTTCCTGCCAACTCCCCATATCCTCAATTCCCTGAGAAATCTGCCGATCCTATCCTGAAATAGACCCAACAATAGAAACTCTGCAACCCTTGGGGGTGGAGAATTCCAAAGGTACACAACCTTTCTACTGCAGAAATTTCTCCTCATACCAAACTAATCTAAAATAATCACTCTCTTATCCTGAGACAGTGCCCCAGCTTTCTTGATTCCCCAGACACGGAAACAATCTTTCAGTGTCAACCCTGACAAGCCCCTTCAGAATCTTGAATGTCTTTTAAAACAAATTAGACTTAGTTTTCTTGTCCAAACACTTAACCTGCTCACAATGCATTGCAACGTGTGTCCGTCCATTCAAATCCCAAGTTTACCATTATTAGCAAGTTTGCACAGATTATTCTCTATCTCTTTCTCAAACTTATTGATAAATATTGCAAACAGCGAGACCCAGCCCTAGGTATTCAACCTCCAGCATTGCAGCACTCTCTCAGTACTGACCCTCCGACAGTGCGGTGCTCCCTCAGCACTGACCCCCCGACAGTGCGGCACTCCCTCAGCACTGACCCTCCGACAGTGCGGCGCTCCCTCAGCACTGACCCTCCGACAGTGCGGCGCTCCCTCAGCACTGACCCTCCGACAGTGCGGCACTCCCTCAGCACTGACCCTCCGACAGCGCGGCACTCCCTCAGCACTGACCCTCTGTTCCCTCAGTACTGCCATGAGGAGTGTCAACCTGTAACATTTGTTCTACACTTTTACTGTGATGTTTGGTCTGAAAAGTTTGAGAATGCCCAGCTGAGTCCTGGCTTGATCATGAAACAACAGGATTCAGTAACAGTCTAACAATATTTTGTTCACCTGTTATATTCACTGAGATAGGCTGGGAAGCAAGCTCTGCCAAGTGTTGCAATTAGCTCTGTTGCTCTCACTGAGCTGCTGTCAGAGGCTGGGAAAGACACAGTGATAAAGAAAGGTGTGCACCTGTAGGCTGAATTTTCTTGAACCAAGCAGCAGGATTTGCCCCTCAAACCCGTGCTTGCAGCCCATATTCAATAAGATCATTGATGGTCTGGTCGTGGTGTCATCTCAACTTTTCCGTCTGTACCTCAGTCTATCCAAAATATCACCAACAGAGCCTGAATAAAATTAAAGACTTAACCTCCCCTGCTTTCTGGGGATGAGAATTCCACACTTGAACAGCCCTTTCAGAGAAAAGTTTTCCCTCATCTCTCTCTTCAAAGGGAATCCTCTAATTCTCAAACTATGTTACCTAGTTTTAGTCTCCACAGAACAGGAAACATCCTCCAGGTATCCAGTCTATCCAGTCCCATCAAGAACTTCTACGTTTCAATAAGTTCCCCTCTCATTCTTAAAAACTCCGAAGGATACAATCTCAACCTGCTCAACCTTAAGAAAAGCCCTTTGTCCCAGGATTGAGCTGAGTGAACTTTATGTGGGCTGCTTCTGCAGTAATTATGTCATTTTTCAAATTAGGATTTCAAAAATGTACACAGTAACCAGATGTGAAGAAAGGGAAATTGACAAATACATAAATGCTGAAATAATTACTGGAAAGAGTTAGCAGACTGCCTAAGGATGAGAGTGACTATAAAATCTTTTCCTTACCTTGTCAGAGATGATTTCGTCTCAATGTCTGGGCTCTTCCTCAAAGAATTGGGTTGAGATTTTGAACAAACTCAATTTTGTTGATGGAAAGAGGAAACTGGCAAAAGGGAATGTACACAGGAAGCTGTGGCTGACTTTGCAAATTCTAGATCCCCCTGTCATCAATTTCAAGAACTGGAATTATTTTTTAAATTTAGCATTTAATGTTTCTGGGTAAGGAACTGAAACTGTTTCAAAACTACCAGTTCCCCACTAACACGATGGAATCAAGTGATAGGGGGAGAGGCTTAAAGATTGCAGATTCCTCAGAAAGCAGCTCCATTCTCTCGTTAAGCAAATGGTTCAAGGTGAATGTTAAAGGATAAAGTCACCAGAGGGCTGCTCAGTTATCAGAGAGAAAGAGAGGCACAGAGATACAGAGAGAGAGACAGAGACAGAGAGAGAGACAGACAAAGAGGCACAGAGATACAGAGAGAGAGACAGAGAGAGAGACAAAGAGGCACAGAGATAGAGAGAGATAGACAGAGAGAGACAGACAGAGAGGCACAGAGAGAGAGAGAGGGACAGAGAGAGAGCTTCACAGAGAGAGAGAGGCAGAGAGAGTGAGACAAAGAGAGAGGCACAGAGAGAGAGAGAGAAAGAGAGAGAGAGAGCATTGGTGGTGTTTTAACTTGGCGGCCATTTAAAAGTTAACTGCTGAAACTAGCATTAACATTTCCCACCAACAAACTATTTCACACTAAGCAGCCTGTAAAATTCTGAAGGACCGTTACCAGACTTGAAATGTTAACTCTGTTTTCTCTCCATTGATGCTGCCAGACCTACTGAGTTTCTCCAGCAATTAGTTTCTGTTTCAGATTTCCAGCATCCACAGTTCTTCATTTTACATTATCCCACAGTTTGCTTATTCGCTCTTCATAAATGTACTTCTCCATACAATACTCACCAGACACCTTTCTGCCAACTGCAAATTTTAGTCATCGCTGAAAATATTAAAGAAAAAAATGTAGACATGGAGAAAAAGTGTACACTACACATCTTTGCATACTGTATATGCACAGAATGCCTTCTTTACTATTTGAAAAAAATAATGAAAGAATTGTTCTCTGAGAACATATCCCCCCAGGATTAGCAGCAGTTTATTGTGCTGTACTGGGAGCTGGGAGATTACAGCCCATGAAGGACAGGCTCTGATCACGAGGAGGAAACAGCCTTTGACTAAGGGACAAAGTCTAATTTAAACATCAGCTGCAGGAATGCAGAAACAGAGAAACAAAAGCCAGATATGTTTGTGAGGTGGTTAAAGCAAACTGAGAGTCATTTCTAAGTGAATAGATTTGAACAGCAGGAAAGTGTTAAAGCAGTATCAAACCCTTGGTCAGACAACACTAGCAATATAGCAAAACCCTCCAATCCCTACATTATGAAAAGGACATAGAGGTACTGGAGAGATGCAAAAGCATTAACTTGAATCATACTGGAACCATAGGCTTTATCTCCTAAAAATCTGAACTGATTGATTTGCTTTTCTGCAGAAAGGGATGTTGAGGGGTTCCCAAATTGAGGTCTTTCAAATGATATGAAGAGGTTTGATCAGCTAGACACAGAGAACAATGACAACTGGTTGTCAATCTGAAACCTCTTCTCTACTAATGCAGCTGAAGCTGCTGAGTATTGCCAGCATTTTCTGTTTGGATATCTCTGTATTTTTCTTCTTGTGGTAGAGAGCATTATTCGGTTCTGAATCTCAGTAAAGGTGGCGGCTCCTCAGGGGAATGCACTACGTGTGGCTCAGCTCAGTGTGGGCTCCCCATATCACTGTCAATAGGTAGTAGGAGGGATGAGGTCCTTCAGGTACACCTAGGGGAGCTGGGGATTCAGAGATTAGAAACAGAAAATAGTTGCAGGAGTAGGCCATTCGGCCCTTCAAGCCTTATACCACCATTCGATATGATCATGGTTGATCATGCAGTCTCAGTATCCCATTCCCACCCTCTCCCCATACCCTTTGATCTCTTTACCCGCAAGGGCCATGTCCAGTTACCTCTTGAATATATCTAATGAACTGGCCCCAACAGCTTCGTGTGGGAGAGAAATCCACAGGTTCTCAACTCTCTGAGTGAAGAAATTCTCCCTCATCTCAGTCCTGAATGGCTTGCCTCATATATTTAGACGGTGACCCCTAGTTTCAATCCCATCAGGATTTATGTTTCTATGAGATTCCCCCTCATTCTTCTAAATTCCAGTGAGTACAAGCCCAGTCAATCCAGTCTTTCCTCAAAGATCAGTCCTGCCATCCCGGGAATCAGACTGGTGAACCTTTGCTGGACTCCCTCAATAGCAAGAATGTCCTTCCTCAGACTGGGAGACCAAAACTGCACACAATACTCAAGGTGTGGCCTCACCAAGGCGCTGTATAACTGCAGCAAGACATCCCTACTCCGATACTCAAATCCTCTCACTATGAAGGTCAGAATGCCATTAGCTTTCTTCACTGCCTGCTGCATCTGCATGCCAACCTTCACCAACTGTTCCACCATGACACCCAGGTCTCATTGCACCTCACCTTTTCCTAAACTGCCACCATTCAGATAATAATCTGCCTTTCTGTTTTTGCCACCAAAGTGGATAACCTCACACTTATCCACATTATATTGCATTTGCCAAGTGTTTGTCCACTCAGCCAGTCTGTCCAAGTCACACTGCAGCCTCTTAGCGTCCTCCTCACAGCACACACTGTCACCCAGCTTAGTGTCATTAGTAAATTTGGAGATATGGCATTCAGTTCCTTCATCCAATTCATTAATGTATATTGTGAACAGCTGGGGTCCCAGCACTGAACCCTGCGGTACCCCACTCGTCACTGCCTGCCACTCTGAAAAGGACCTGCGTATTCCAACTCTCTGCTGCCTGTCTGCCAACCAGTTCTTTATCCATGTTAATACATTACTTTCAATATCATAAGCTTTAATTTCCTTACTAATCTCTTGTGTGGAACCTTGTCAAAAGCCTTTTGAAAGTCCAGATACACAACATCTACTGATTCACCCTTGACCATTCTACTGGTCACATCTTCAAAAAATTCCAGAAGATTTGTCAAGTATGATTTTTCTTTAGTGAATCCATGCTGACTGGGACCGATTCTGTCACCACTTTCCAAATGCTCAGTTATGACATCCTTAATAATTGACTCCAACATTTTCCCCACCACCACTGTCAGGCTAACTGGCCTATAATTCCCTGCTTTCTCTCCTTCCTTTTTTAAAGAGTGGGATTACAACAGCTACCCTCCAGTGCATTGGAACGCTTCCAGAGTCTACAGAATGCTGAAAAATTATCACCAATGGGTTTGTTATTTCTGGGCCCACTTCCTTAAGTACTCTGGGATACAGAGCATCAGGCCCTAGGAACTTATTGGGTTTTAATCCCATCAATTTCCTCAATATCATTTCCTGACTAATAAGGATTTCCTTCCGTTCTTCCTTCATACTTGATTGATAAAGAGGATCTCAAAAGTAGGAATCAATTATTACAGCCAGTACCACACAGCAGTGAATCAAGAGTAGAAGGACAGGAGGAATAGCGTGAAGGTGCATCGTGGAGGATCTGAGCTTCCTCGGACATTGGGACAGGTTGTAGGCCAATTTGGACCTTTTCAGGCTCAATCATTTGCATAGAATGAGGAAGCGGGGGGTGCGCATGATTGCTGAGCTGGAGGTTTTAAACAAATTTGCCACATTGCTGGGAACCAGAATGTTGAATTAGAAAGTGGAAACAACAATTAAGAGACAGAGACAGGGAGAGCACTAAAATAAGAAACAAAGTGCTGAATCTTACTGTGACTGGTTGAGTGTCAGTTTTGTCAAGTTTCACAGAAGGTTTCTCTCCATGAAGCCTAGGGAGTGTCGTACAGCATCTTACCAAATTCGCCTTCTGAACTACCTACTCTGCCCCTATGGCAACCTCTCACCTGATTCTAGCCCACCTTACTGTAGTGATTGGAACGAGGTCAGCCAGATGAACCTCGTTGAATCTGAGCTCCCTGATTGGGGCTGTTAACCTGATCCAATCAGGGAGCCCTGGCTTACAGATATAAACATGAGTGTCAGGGTTCTGCAAAGTTGATGTTTCAGGTCAGGACCCTTTCTGAAGAAGGATCCCGACCTGAAATGTTAACTTTCCCGCTCCTCTGATGCTGCCTAGCCTGCTGTGTTCCTCTAGCTCCACACTGTGTTATCTCTGACTCCAGCATCAGTCGTTCTTACCATCTCTATGTCAGTGGTTCTGTTCACTCTGACAGCTCACCCTGAGGAAGCCGGACCAGTATCAATTACTATGTACACGAAAATGAAGGGCAACTTGGTGACAGGATACCAGCCTCTGTGGAGTTATTTCAGTGGCAACAAGAGAAAAGCATCTTCCTTAAGAAATTCACTCTCAACAGTTGTCTTTGAGTTGGGGTAAGCATTCCTGGCATCATGCCATTATTTGGGAAGCTTGACCCATTTGATCCTGCCACTGAAGACCGGGCCCAGTATGAATGCATTAGTTTTTCTGGGCAAATGACATTGGGCAGATGGAAAGCAATGAATGGTTCTCCTGACAGCTTGAGGAGCCATAACTTTTTTTGGTTATTAGGAGTCTAACTTTCCCTGAGGCACCAAATACTAAAAATCTTTCAGGAGATGACGGATTTAGCTAAGGAATACTATGACGCCAAGCCTCCTCTAATTCTGAGACACTATCATTTTTACTTGGCAATTCAAGAACCAGGGGAATCCATATCAGGGTTTTTGACAAAGTTAAGATGACCGGCAGAGGCATGTGATTTTGGGTTAACTATGAATGAGATGCTGAAAGGCTGTTTGATATGTGGGGTTAATGATGTAACCATGCAAAAGTGCCCACTAGCTGAAGCCCAACTGGATTTCAAACCAGCACTACAACTGACTTTATCATTGGAACATGTGGCAAGTGGAGTATATGAGTTGCAGGGTATTCCGATGGAAGTGGACACCCTCGCCAGACTGACTGAGCTTGGGGAACACCACTTGAGTGAATGCAACTGCATAGCCTTACTCAGGACACATCCTGAACAGAGGGGTACTGGGTCAGCCCACAGCAAAACCCCAAAACAAAGCCAAACCTCGCCCAAACGGTTAAAATTTTCTTCAGGATCCAGGATTGCAAGCTATTTATAGTTGCTGCTGGTGTGCAGACTCAAGACAGCAAAAGAGACATACTATACCTAAATTGTGTAAGAGAACTCATAGGCTGGTATCCAGGAGAGTGCACACCGTGGGAAGTCCACCCACATCTGACTTAGAACAGTTAAATAACTTGGCAAATCAGAACCAATCAAAATAAACTTCTCGTTAAATGGTCACCCAGTTCTAATGGAGATCAATACTGGCATGGCTGTTTCAGTGATTCCAGAACGAGACTTTAACAAATTTCGCTCTGGAATTCTACCCTTAGATTTGCACAAGAATTCAGCCAGGCTGAGGAACTTGGGGAACCAAGGAACCTTTACATATTAAGGGTACAACTTTGGTTCTGGTCTCTTTTGAGAAGCAGCTGGTTCAGCAACCACTGGCTGCAGTAAAAGTCTCGGCTCAAGCAAAATGGGTGCAGAAAGATTCAACTTGATTGACTCAACATTTTTCAGTCAGAAATGGCTTCCTGAGTGAAGTCCTAATTAAATGCCCACGTGTTTTTCAGGACCGCCTAGGGACTATAGAAGGAGAAAAGGTTACCTTGTATGTTGCCATGATTCTGTAAGGACTGCCCAGTGAAATTTGCCTTCTGGGCAAAAGTAGAAGTAGAAATCAGGAGATTGTAAAAACTGCAGATGTGACAGTCAGAGATAACACAGTGTGGAGCTGGAGGAACACAATAGGCCAGGCAGCATCAGAGGAGCAGAAAAGTTGACGTTTCAGGTCAGGACCTTTCTTCAGAATTGGGGGAGGGGGAAGGGAGCTCATCCCCACCTCCTTGACCTGACACAACCTGTCCGTCTTCTCTCCCACCTATCCACCCCTCCCACCTCAGTGACCAATCCCCACCACTCCCTACCTGCACTCACCTATCACCATCCTACCTACCTTTCCAGCCACACCCCTCCGCTCTCTATTTATTTCAGAGCTGCCTTCCCCCTCTCCATTTCTGAAGAAGGGTCCCGACCCAAAACGTCAGCTTTCCTGCCCCTCTCATGTTGCCTGGCCTGCTGTGTTCCTCCAGCTCCATACCATGTTATCGGTAGAAATCAGAAGGCTGGAAAGTGAAGGAATCATCAAACCAGAGATAGTAGGAACTGCAGATGCTGGTGAATCCGAGACAACAAGGTGCAGGGCTGGATTAACACAGCAGGTCAAGCAGCGTCATAGGAGCAGAGAGGCTGACGTTTCGGGCCTAGACCCTTCATCAGAAAAGGGGGAGGGGAAGGGGGTTCTGAAATAAATAGGGAGAGAGTGGGAGGCGGATAGAAGATGGATAGAGGAGAGGATAGGTGGAGAGGAAACAAACAGGTCGAAGAGGCGGGGATGGGGCCAGTAAAGGTGAGTGTACGCCTGCCTCTTTGTAGGTTACGTGGAACAATCCCTCTTCCGTACCTACACCGACCCTAAGCCCCACCTCTTCCTCCGTTACATTGATGATTGTATCGGCGCCGCCTCGTGCTCCCACGAGGAGCTCAAACAGTTCATCCACTTCACTAACACCTTCCACCCCAACCTTAAGTTTACCTGGACCATCTCTAACACCTCTCTCACCTTCCTGGACCTCTCTGTCTCCATATCGGGCAACCACCTAGAAACCGATATTCATTTCAAGCCCACCGACTCCCACAGCTACCTAGAATACTCCTCCTCCCACCCACCTTCCTGCAAAAATGCTATCCCCTATTCCCAATTCCTTCGCCTCCGCCGCATCTGCTCCCAGGATGAGGCATTCCACTCCCGTACATCTCAGTTGTCCTCGTTTTTCAAGGACCGTAACTTCCCCTCCTCGGTCGTCGAGAACGCCCTCAACCGTGTCTCCCACATCTCCCGCACCTCATCCCTCACACCCCGTCCACGCAATAAAAACCAAAAAAGAATCCCCCTCGTCCTCACGTACCACCCCACCAACCTCCGGATCCAACGCATCATCCTCCGACACTTCCGCCATCTGCAATCCGACCCCACCACCAAAGACATCTTTCCCTCCCCACCTTTATCTGCTTTCCGGAGGGACAACTCTCTCCGTGACTCCCTTGTCCGCTCCACACTCCCCTCCAGCTCCACCACACCCGGCACTTTTCCCTGCAACCGCAGGAAGTGCTACACCTGCCCCCATACCTCCTCCCTCACCCCCATCCCAGGCCCCAAGAAGACTTTCCACATCAAGCAGATGTTCACCTGCACATCTGCCAATGTGGTATACTGCATCCGCTGTACCCGGTGTGGCTTCCTCTACATCGGGGAAACCAAGCGGAGACTCGGGGACCGCTTTGCAGAACACCTACGCTCGGTTCGCAACAAACAACTGCACCTCCCAGTCGCGAACCATTTCAACTCCCCCTCCCATTCCTCAGACGACATGTCCATCCTGGGCCTCCTGCAGTGCCACAACGATGCCACCCGAAGGTTGCAGGAACAGCAACTCATATTCCGCTTGGGAACCCTGCAGCCCAATGGTATCAATGTGGATTTCACAAGTTTCAAAATCTCCCCTCCCCCCACCGCATCCCAAAACCAGTCCAGCTCGTCCCTGCCTCCCTAACCTGTTCTTCCTCCCACCTATCCCCTCCTCCCACCTCAAGCCGCACCTCCATCTCCTACCGACCA